GTCAACTCTCTTCCGCTTTCCTCGAGTGGTGCGAACACTGCGACTGGATGATGCTCTCGACACAGTCACTCGGGAAGAAGGACTTGGAGAGAGCTTTAACCTACACAGAGAGAGAGTTACGTTCTGCTAATGGAGTACAAGCGCCTGACTCACCTAGGCTTTGGTCTCTACAGGCATTCCTAAGGCAAGGAATCCTTCACCATGTCAGACAATGCCAATAAAGCAACATTTAGCCATGCTGAAGTGCTCTAATTACATTACTAAAACACTTGAAATCTCCAACAAAAGAGCCCACTCGATATTTAAAGTAATAACAACAAATTTTTAGGGGCTGGAGAGATGGCTCAGAGGTTAAGAGCACTAGCTATTCTTCCGGGTCCCCAGTTCTATTCCCAGCAACCACACAGATGGTGGGTCACAATCATGTGTAATGAGATCCAGTGCCCTCTTCTGGCATGCAGGCATACATGAAGGCAGAACACTATACATATAATAGATAAATAAATCTTTAAAAAAAACTCTATTTCTACTTAAAACAGATGATACAAAATTTCAAAGTAGCCTTCTTCGTTTTTAAAAATGTTTTCTTTTCCTTAAAACTGAGAGCATTTAACGATGTAATTTAATGCATTTGGAAATATGCACTGAAAGAAAAGTAAACCACTTAGAATAGTTGTGATAATTCATGGTGGAGAATGCACTGGGTTTTGTTTTTGTTGTTTTTTAAGACAGGGTTTCACCATGTAGCCCTGGCTGTCATTGAACTTACAGAGATCTGACTGCTGCAATTAAGGCTTGTGGCACCTTGCCCAGCAGCTCTGGGTTTCTTAGAGATACTTTGGAATGCTTGAGTTCCTAGCACAGGATAGTAAATCCTAGCTGGGCTGTTCTTCACTGAACCATCTGTAGATGTCTTAATAGACAGGAGACAAGGTTTTAACTTAGGGCAGCCCTAAAATACTGGATATCCGGGGAGATGGGATGACCGTGAGCAAACCCAGCTTGTCGGGCCTGGGGGTGCCAGTGCCTTACCGTTCTTCCTCGCCTTCTAAGAGTTTCCTGTAGGCACTGATCTCCATGTCCAGGGCCAGCTTCACATCAAGCAGCTGTTCGTAGTCATTCAGCTGCTGCTGCATCTGGTCCCTTATCTCCGCCATCTCTCGCTCTTTGTCAGACAGCATGCGACGGGAGTTGTCTTTCTCTTTAGCCAGCATGTCCTCCAATTCTTGAATCTTTTCCAAACAGGCTCTAGACTTCAGAGTCAAAGAAGCACATTCACTTTCTAGGACCATTTCAACATGAGAACAAGGCAGCTATTTTAACCCATCTCCTGAACTAGAGAGCAAACAGCCTCACAGAACTCTAACTCAGAGTTCAAACAATCTGGCTGGGAGAAATTAAACCCTAAATCCTTAAAATATAAAATACAGCTCTTATAAAAGAAATATTCTCAAGCTGAAGTTTGGAAATGCACACGTAAGTTTTCAGTGTTAACCAAATGAACATTTTACTACAGCTGTGGAATCTTCAAGTCTGACTTTCCTACAAGGTCCTCACTTCAAAGAACAGCTAGGGCATATTCTAAAACCAAAGAAAGGGGTTCTGGCTACCACGTTTAATGTGCCACAGTCCCTTTAGGGATGGCCCTATCATGTCGTGTTTGGTTGCAAAGCACATGTACAAACCACATGGTGATGTGTAAAATATAGAAGCCATGTTTGGCACACAGAGTGAAAATAATCATACATCCTACATCATATTCATCTTCAAAACCTTGTAGCTCACTGGGTAATCATTCACCCACATTTCTCCATGACAGAATTCATCTCAGTAGCCTCAGAAATGACCAGACAGTCAGCTCAAAACGAATGATGGAAGCTAAGGCCCTCAGAATCCCAAGTACCCACATCAGCGGCAGACAGGGACCTACTATGTAAAAACTGAAATCTGGAAGGAAGATATTGTAATAAATACTGCACGACTAGAATTTATTCCTGGGACAAGTCCAGGTTCAAAACTGTAAACACATAATGAAGCTCAACAAGTAACTGGATGATAAAAACCAAATTTCCCAGACTCAGGGGTTACAAATAGGTAAAGAAAAGAAGCCAAAAAAGAACCCTGCAGTATATTTGAGACAAATGCATGAATTTCTGCTTAACTTAATATAAATCTGTATGACTAGACAGAAAAATAATTGCAGATTATAGCTATGCTAAGTTAGCATATACATGTGTGCTCAAGGGTGTGTAACCTATTCTATGAGAAGGTTTGTGCATGTACAACCTACTTTATGAGATGGCCCAGAAGTAGAGCTACCAGTACCAAAAAGTGTACTGTGTGTGTTTGCTCATGTGTGTACACTGGCACCCCGGTAGGGGTGTGTGTGTGTGTGTGTGTGTGTGTGTGTGTGTGTAAAATAAACAGACCCTGGGTTCAATACCCAGCAACACAAGGAAACAAAGCCTCTAAAACAGTGGCCGGGCTGGAGAAGTGGCTTGGCAGTTAAGAGCTTTGTAGAGCAGTTCTGCTCAATGAGTAATAGATCCCTCTCTCTAGGACACAGAGTTTATTAATTCTTGTCTGGGTGGGCCAGACAGCAGGAAATGAAAGACCACTGATTCTCAACGGTAAAAGAAACCTGGTAAATGCTACTGTAATCACACATTCCCAGTGACGTGGTCCTTAATACCAGGTGATGAAAACAGGCACTGGAAAAGACCAGCCGGTCCATGTGACAAGCACAAGGCAAACCCAAACTGAAAAGTATCTATTAGAACACCAGGCTCATCCTCCTCAAACTCAAGGTCATGAAAAGACAAGAAAGTCCTATGAAACTGTCAGACCAGGAAAAAGTAGGAAGTATGTAGTACCCTGAAACAGAAAGAGGGCAGTAAGGAAAACAATGGAGGAACCCAACTAGCCTATAGTCTACTTAACAGCAATACACTGTGGCTGCATTTGACCAATGTCCCACAGTAAATAACACAAGATGCCAACGCAGGCAAACCAGGTAAGACAGAGGACTGTCCTGTTTCTACTTTACTCTGAATCTAAAATTTGACCAGTATTGGGCCAGTAAGATAGCTCAGTCAGTAAAGGTACTTGTCACCAAGCCTGGTAACCAGAGTTCCATGACTGGAAACCACATGTTGAAAGGGGGAACCAATTCCAGAAAGTAGCCTCTGACCTCCACAAGCCGTCAGTGAGGGCACAAAAGGAGGGAGACTATACGAAGGCCTCAGACACCTCTGCTGAACTGCACTTACAGGCCATGCTGAGGCATCCACTCCCTGCCCACACCTCATTTATTTCTATTTCCTTTCTAAACAAGATAGAGTCAAAATATCTAATCTACAATCTTTTCACTGTATTTGAAAAGTGGCCAGTAGAGGACAGAAGGAGCCACAAAACAAACACTAAAAAACAGTCGGGCTGGGTAGGAGGTACATGCCACTAAACCCAACAACCTAAGTTCAGTCCTCAGAATCGGCATGAAAGGAGTAGACCACACTCAACTCCCACAAGTCATCCTCTCCCCTCCACATGTGCCCTGGTGCACATACCCACATACATGCACATAATAAATGTGAAGGAAAAGTAACAAGTTAGCACGGAGACAATGTCTCTATGGTATACTGCTTTTGATTATACAGAACTAAGAGTGAAAATCAACCTATATATAAACCTTTGTAAGCCATTATGAGTTGTTTCATTATTTTAAATGGAAATGTTAAGTTTTACATTAAATATCTGTTTATACCTGTGTAGACATGGAAGAAACTAAGAGGTCAGATCCAGATAGACGCCCCCAGACCTGCCATCCAATCCTAGACAGCTGCAGTTAGCCTAAGGCAGCACCCACACTACACCATGAAGGCATGGAACTAGCTTACCTCCAGATCCTGCCTCAACACTACAGCTTTGTCTGACACTGGATCATCTCAGATTTTTATTTTTTTTAAGACTTAATTTGTTTTTATGGATCTGAGTGCTTTGCCTGCGTTCATGTACGTGTACCTGTGATGTGAGTGCCAGGTGCCCACAAAGGTGACCAGGGAGTAGCAGACCCCTGGAACTGGAGTTAGATGGTTTTGAATTGTCCTGTGGATGCTGGGAACCAAACCCAGATCCTCAAAGAGAACACTAAGTGTTCTTGTGCTAGCCCCAGGTCTTATTTATAAATCATAACACAGTGATACTGATTCATCTATGATACAAATGCAGTAATAGTTCCCAAAGTCTGGCTGTTAGAAAACCAGAACTATGGGTGCTTCTGGTATGCCACTGCAGACTCTTGTAAGGCAGGCAGACTTGGACCAAACACAAGTACTGCATGCAATTTCTAATGCCAAAACAATATTGCTATCATCTATATACTTAAACTTATCTTCTAAAAGTATTTCTTGAAAGGCTGCTTCAATCTTAAATTTCAGAAGGTCAGGAGCCACGGTTTACATTTGCAGAAGCAAGCACTTACAGCCCAACAGCAGCATAGCGAAACCACCATGACTCAACAACACCAGGACACACAATACAAATCCCCAAATCTACTGCTATTTACCACAGTAAGTCTTCGCCTCCTCGGCTGTAAAACAAAGATCTAACAGAGGGCTTGTATCAACTCACTGTAGGAGCACAATGGCCCATTTCCAGAAGCATACCAATTAATGTTCCCCCAAATTTTACGTATTAAAATCCTACTCTCACTGGGCGTTGGTGGTGCATGCCTTTAATCCCAGCACTCGGGGCCAGAGGCAGGCGGATCACTGTGAGTTCGAGGCCAGCCTGGTCTCCAGAGCGAGTGCCAAGATAGGCTCCAAAGCTACACAGAGAGACCCTGTCTCGAAAAACGATAGATAGATAGATAGATAGATAGATAGATAGATAGATAGATAGATAGATAGATAGATAGATAGAATCCTAGTCTCCAGCTCAGTAGTGAGTTATTTGCCCTTCCCACAGGAAGACACTAGGCAGTTGATCTAAGGATAAGGAATTGATCTCACCATTCAATCTTCCCTGGCCTTAGCCTTTCCAATCCTGAATGAGGGCCTCCTAGCTCGATCAATGAAGTGCATGCCAAGCGATCCTGAGGACCTGAGTTGGGAGTGTGTGCGTGCATGCACATACATGTGTGTAGCTTATAGTATTTTGTTATAGCAGCCCAACAGGACTAAAATAAATAGATGGTGCAACAGAAGGCAAATTCCTCAAAGAAAACTTTGGGTAAGAGTTGGGTATGAAGGGAATACTGGGAAGGAAGAGGAACCCCTTTGTTTCCCTGAAGCCTCCAGGCAAGTCATTAAACTCACCTTGGTCTGTGGTTTGGTCAAGTGAACAGTCCACTCTTAGCAGAACAAACTTATTCTAAAATAATTTAAAGTTTTATGACACAAGTAATAAAGTACACAAGGCAGCAATGTAAAAATCTGTTAACTGTTCTATTACACTATTTCATGTGACTCATTTACTTTCTAAAGCCCACAATAAATGCTTTTATACCTAAAAAGAATTTGGGAGGAGAAAGGAGGGGGCTGCTCAATAAAATAGCATAAAGTTTAATCGAGTTTCTCCCCTCAGGAAAACAAAGGCAGGAGTCACTTCCCATGTCATTAAAGATGCCCAACAGTGTGTGAGTCCACGTGTCACTTCATGGGCATCACCCCACAGTAACACTGACCGAGTTGAAGCCACATCCAGGCCTGCTTCACTTGACCTCGAGCCATGCCACCACAGCAGGCAGCCAGTCAACACGGAGAAACACAGTCACTTGTCAATGACGTATACCAGAAAGTTGATGAGGCCAGTGACTTTTAATGAATACAGAGATTCATAACCACCGAGTAATTTCAACTGCAAGGAGAAAGAAGGCATTGCCCCACAATTTGGTTTCCAAGAGTGATGGGAGAGAATGAGTGGGAGCTAAGATGGGATTCAGCACTATTGCGGCACACCAGCGGTGTCCAGCGAGTGATCCATCGGCAGGTTTCCTCATACCCTCCTAACCGGTTAGGAGTAAGGTGCTACTCAGAGGGGATTTTGAGACAGATCTCACTATGTAGCCCAGGCTGGCCAGGAATTCACTTCATAACCCAGGTTGGCCTTGAATTTGCATTACCACAAAGCTACAGGATATTTATAGACTATAAAAAGACAGGAGGGAATATGTTCCATCTGTGACAAAGACAGAAAAGTGGCACAGGTCGGTAACAGGCAGACAGCGATGACCCAGGCAGCCAGCCTTCCAGCATAACTCCAAATCTGCTCCAAGGCAGGTAGGTGCCTGCTTAACTCTTTCTGCAGGTTAGAAAGCTGGGAGGACAGGCTCTCGATGCGCATGCGGCTCTCCATCAGTTCTTCCCGGGCACTGTTGACAGTGGAAGTGTTCATCTCTGAGGACAGTCGGGCATTCTCAAGCTGTAAGAAGGGGAAGCAGTCAGTCTTATCTAGTAATGTAGAGTTGACAAATGAGGAAGCATGACTCACCAAGACATTTCCAGCTTGAGCCCTACTGGTAACTGGCTGACGAAACACAGGAAAATCATGACTGTCCGTGACGTACATCACCACGCACCTGAGTTTTCAGACTCACTTCTAAAACTACAAATTGCCACAATTTCAATGTATCGAGGTCATTAACTGAATTTACTTTTCCAGTATTCCATCCACTAACTATTTACTATCTAGGGTAGCACTGACAAAGAAGCAGCAACGAAAACTTTGACTGTAGTGATGTTTGTAAAGGAAATATTCTATATTCCAAATACAGCAAATCTAACACAGAATAGACTTGTAAACAGATTGGCTCTTCCTTTCAGAAGCAGAGTGGGTCTCAGAAAAACAATACCTACATCTCCAAATGCCACAAGTGTGTGGTGTGTGTGTGTGTGTGTGTGTGTGTGTGTGTGTGTGTGTGTGT